AATTGGAATATTAAATTTTAGTGAGATGAATGCATCTGTTTTTTTAACGTAAGTATCCTCTGGAAATTTGGTTTTATGCTTGATAACTGGATTCTCATATCTGGGGCGGCATCCAGTCTGCTTCGATACTTAGTTTTCGTGCTAGCATATCTTGAAAATCCTGATTCACACCAATATGTCGTCGTAAAAGGCAAAAGTATTTTTATGGCCTGTTTGGATATTTCAGGATATTCTTCAAGTAGATTCCCCAGAATACATCTAACGGCACTTCTTCAAATTTAGCCTTTAACTGAGTATCGGATGTAATTTCTATTAATTTCTCATAATCCACTGACAGAAATCCTGTTGGTTTTTTTGTTACTGTGAATGGATTTTGTACCCAATAATATTCTTTGTACTCCAAGTTAGGAAAATACTCGGAAAGAGATGAGGATAAGCTGTTGAGATGATCTTTAATTTCGTCGAGTGTCTCTGCGTCTAATTCCATTTCAGACTCTTGTAGAAATTTAGTAAGAAGTGGAAAACAGTCAAAATTATCATGCTCTACTTCTGAAATCCAGTACTGTAATTTACGAGATAAAGATATCATATTATCTTGAGTTCGAAAAATGTTTGTTTCCTTTCTTTGTAGAGATAGGCATGTTTCATTCAACTTTGAAAAAACATCTGCTAAATATGTAAGTTTTGCTCGCCGTACATTATTTTTTAATCTGTTAGACTAATTAAATTTATGTTCAAGAAAGTAAAACTGCAATTCTTTTATCAATTCAACCATTCTCACCAGCACATTTCCTCTTGAAAGCCATCTTACTTCTGTATGTAAAAGAAGAGTCGTTTGATGGCTACCCATATCTTCACATAAAGCTTTAAATACTCTTGATTGTAATGGCCGAGTCTTAATAAAATTGATAATTTGTACGGCTTCGTCCAAAACTACCTTTAATGAAGCAGAAATTCTTTTTGTCACTAATGCGTATCTGTGAAGAATGCAGTGATTACTGCTGCAGTTTTTTGCAGCATTTTTTATTCTAGTTACAGCACCAGATAATTTTCCCATCATAGCCTTCGCTCCATCAGTGCACACTGAAATGCATTTATCCCAACCAATACCATGATTTGTTATATAATTATCAACACAATCAAATATATCTTTTCCTGTGGTATGAAGCTCTAAACTTTTACAGAAAAGAAAATTGTCTTCAATTCTTTTATTGAAGTCATATCTAACAAACACAAGTAGAATTGCTAGTCCAGTCACATCTGTAGACTCATCCATTTGCAACGTGTAAGCATCACATGCATGCAGTCGTGAAATAAGTTCGGTTTCAATGTCATCAGAAATATCAGCAATACGCCTCGACACTGTATCATTAGATAGAGATATAGATTCAACCTTTTGAGCAGACTTTTCATCAAATACACATGAAACTATATCTTTCAATATAGGTTTTATCAATGATTCACCGATAGTGTGTGCTTCGCCATGAAGAGAAATATGGTAAGATGCTTTATATGATGCTTCAGTTGCATTTTCATTGTCTGTTCTGCATTTCTTCACCATGAAATTTGAACTTTAGTAGTTTTATTGAAACTTTCAAGTTTCCTTTCAAAAAAAGATTTATCCTTATTTTTATAGACACTATGCCTGGTCTCCATGTGTCTTTGCAACTTTGCTGGTGCCAACAAACTGTTAGCTAATCTTGTGTGACAAAGTATACAAATGGCGTCTGGGGCTTCTTCATCACCAGTACTAGTAAAGCCACATGACAAATACTGAGGATCATACTTGCGTTTCTTTTTGCCTGGCTGCCGTTCAGAACAGGAAGGAACATATTCCGTGTTTTTTGAACTAGTTGCAGATTGTTTCTTTGCAAGTTCACCTTTTTCTGTATCTTCTTTGGATGTTGTTGCTTTACTAATCCTTTTTAACCACTGATCCATTGTAGGGCTTTAAAAATAGTAAAAATAATTTGTTGAGTAGAAGAAATGCTTACGGTAACAGTAGAGCAGCACAACCTTCCTGCACGTGTGTAACTAACCGACAAAGCCAGCCATCACCGGTGTTGCCAACTCTGAATAATCTAGTCTGGCAACACTTGCTGTCAGTGGGAATTCATTGATGTTATAAGATATGATATGTACCAATTTCTTATGTTATGATTAAATGTTGCTTTTCAATGTAGCTTTACGGAACCCCTGACCTTGCTTCATTGGAACCCAAGGGTTCCGCAGAACCCACTTTGAGAACCACTGGCCTAGATCAAAGGTCAAGAGTATTTTAAGGTTTAAATTATAAGCTGTTTCTAATGGGAAACCATACTTTTTATTACTGGAATAGGCAGGGATGTAAAAGTTATATTTTTTCATGACCTCATTACTTTGACCTTTAAAAACACTCACTACTTTTAGTACTAACCAGGAGTAACGATGTGGACATAGTAGTTTTCTGCTCCCTTTGGGGGTGCTTATTTTCAGTGAGTCCTCCTTGTCTTTCACTATTGTGGTGCTTGTTTTCGGTAAGTCACTTTACTTCTCATCATTGCTTGAGATGTTTGTTTCAGGGAAAATTTGATAACAAATATTCAAAATGACGCCCTTCCATTTTGATGCATTTGTTGAGCCGCATTTAAAATTATCATGTTTGAGATGACCTTTAGAGGTCAAATTTGGAGTACTCAAGGTCATGGCTTATTGTGAAATTTCCTGCTTTTTCCACATAAATGTAATTTTTACCTCCCTGTCTATTCCAGTAATAAAAAGTATTCCCATTAGAAAAAGCTTATAATTTAACGTTTGGATGACCAGGGTCCCGATCTGTCGTTACCCCCCCTTTATCATAAAGATTACAGGGTATCGATTAATCGTTACCCTAATAAAAATCGGTTCTAATGAAAATTTTTGGCAACAGATGCCACCACTTGACGGTAGTGTGTTGTCTACCATCTGTTTCACATATTTGTGTCCAGGTGGTGTTTTGTCGACTGAAAAATTTTTATTTAGCGATTTTTTTTTTAATTTAAATATTTTTTCATTTATTTTATAGCATATTTACGTAATAATATTACTAAAATACGTTTATTCATGCTATAATAAGTTTATTTAGTTATAATAAATCAATGTATGATAAATATTTAAATTGTGACCTTCAATTTTGATATTTATAAATTTTTTTAATTTTTTATTTTTTAATTAAATTAAAAATATTAGCACATCGTAAATGTATTACTACTGGTTTATATATTTATCACAATAATTTATATTATTGTTCAAAATAAAATGAATAAAGAATATTAGTTCGTAATATTCATCGATAGCAAAATAAAGGTTAGATTCCAAACAAAGGATATATTATAATCTGTGATAATTTTAAAACTAAAAATCGTACATTCATAAATGTTATATCGAATTGTACAGAACGATATTTCAAGTCGTTCTGGCTTAGTGCCAAGAACAAACTACTTAACTGGAGTATGTGAATTTTACAAAAATGTTGCAAATTTTCACAGACAGATGTCAAGTCTGAAATATTTTAATTTTTTTTTTATTAAAGTTTATATTTAAATGTATTTAAAAATATCGGATTTATAACTACAGATATTAATAAATGTAACGTAATTTTTGTCATATGAATATAACAATAAATTGATTTTTGGTGAATTTTTAAAGTAATAAAACATGTCTGACCTTGTTTGACCTATACTGCCCTTGGTCATTTTAAACAATAAACGTAAATAGGAGGCAGGGTTAACCCGGTCATCCAAACGTTAAACCTTAAAATAATCTTTACCTTTGACCTAGACCATAAGGTCAAAGGTATATCCTGTTGTGAAATTTCCCGCTCTTTCCATTGCCGGGATGAAAAATGTGTGTTCCCATTGAAAAACAGATTTCACCCCAAATGACCTTGAAGGTCAAGGTCACACCCAAGGTCACCGAATGATTGGCCCTTTGAAACCCTACAACTTTTGTCTATACCTTTTTCCCAAAATGAGGTCCAATTAAGTTATTCCATTGTCTCAAGATAAAAAACACCCTGTATATATTTTCCATGGGTTTGGGATTGTGCTAGCCTCTTTATAGTTAAGGGTTTTGACTTGTGGGACACTCTGTAGATCTCAATTAACTCCAGAATACTTTGTCTCACAAATGCAAAGTTAAGTTTTTTACAACAAAGCCGTTCCTTGGGAATCTGTCTATCCGGTGTCTCTATATGGTTGTGTTGTATCTTGATTTGCTTAACATCACAATTTCCAAGAATATATCAACAATGTTAAGTAAAGACTTGTTATACTTAAGAATAAGAAATGGCACCTTAACATTTAAAAAAAATTACTTAATCTTTAAAATATTGTTTATCATTGTTATTGTTTAAAATAAAAATAATAATAAAAATATAGCTAAGATTATAATATTCATTAATTCATAAATTAATTTATCAAAAGGTGCTAATGTTCAATTTTACAGTACCAAAAAAAATATTAAACTTAATTTTAAACAACTGACTGGTTATAATATTACAGTAGATCATCGTTTATCCAAAAGTCAATTATCTGAAAGAATTCCAGTCGACAAATTTAAATTTTTGCCAGTGCTGTGGCACTGCAATCTTTGGCTATGTCTTGGGCTACTCAAATATTTTACATTTTTGATACTAAATTAACTTCTGAAGTATAATTTTTTATTGTTTTTATATTTTTCAATATATTTATTTTGTTTGTACAAAATAAAGAAATAATTTTTAACGATACAATAGTCACGATTATTATTTTAAAAAGTTTACATTAGGCTTAACATTGACCAAAATTCAACGTGAAGTGACACTCAACAGAGAAAAATTTCAACACGGGATAGGTTAATATATTTTTTCATAAATAATCGGTTATCCGAAATATCAATTTTCCGAACAACCCCAGTCCCCAATTGATTCGGATAAACAACACTCTACTGTAATTATATAAGTTATATTTTGATTTCAAAGTAAAAGTCAGAAATAGACTTACTTAATTTTATTCAGTTTGTGTCTACACAGGTCTAAAACATCTGTCGATAATAGGCGTAAATTATGCATCACTTTCAATTGCGAACCTTAAAAATATATTTTAAAAATTTATAAAACAAATATTGACATAAAATCTAAAGTTATATAACAATTTAAGCTTTCTTAATAACTAGAAATTAAAATATAGTTAATCTATTTATCGTAAGTTGCCACCTATTGTAAACAAACTAAGACACATCTTCCTTTGTTTATTGGTTTAAACCAGGGGTGTCCAACCTGTTTGTTTCTCTGGACCACAAGTATATTGTGGTCGCGGCAGGATGGCCAAGCGGTCAAGGCGGCAGCTTACCACTCTGGGGAACCCGGGTTCAAATCTGAACAGGTTGAAAAATTCCCAGGAATTTTTCGGGGGTGGTCCATTCAGATATGTCAGGCCCAGTCCCTCACCACCCGGCAACCCCATTGTGGGCCCGGCCAAACCCATAATGGGCTTGCAAAAAGAGGCCCTCTTATTGCCCACAGGGCAGAAAGAGTAAAAAGAAAAGTACAGTAGAACCTCCATTATCCAGACCTCCATTATCCGGATTTTCGATTATCCGGATTGTTCAAAATAAAAATTTTACGAATTTGCTGATTTGCACTTGGCGAATTACGACACTGTTTATGTACTGTACGTGACGGAATGCATAACTTTTTTTGTTTCAACAACGTCTCACCCAGCACAGTGGTCGTAAACTCTTAAATATATTTTACGTAGTAATAAAAATATAACTTGACATACGTATTTATAAATAATTTATATTCAAATTACATCATTTCTATGACCAAGGGCGGCGTAAGGCATGG